AGCATATTTCAGATTAAACTTCAAACCAATGGTCTTTACAACCCGGTTGCAATTCATTAGTACAAAATGATTTAATTTTATTTCTTCATTGCCCTTTATCTTCCTAAACTTGTCAACTACAAGGAAAGGATGTAACTAGAAAAGCAATATTTATCTGGTTTTAGAATCACATTTTTTTCTGATAATAATAATCTGAAATGTGAAGTTAGCTAACAGTTTAGATTAAAGAAGATCTGATTCTGCTTAGCAGAGATTTTTAAATTTTGCATGAATTTTTCTTGATAAATTGCAGTTGGTTCTTCATAGCCTGTTCTTATGGATTTGTTATGGTTAAACTCAACTAGTTTTATATTCTGTTGTTTTCTTTTAAGTACTATTGGTAACAGTAATGCAATAAAGAGTAAAGTAATATATTATCTCACATAAAGATTAGAACTGATTTCTTATAATTATAGTACGTTTAAGTGCATATTTAATGTTTATTAATAGTTGGATGGAAAATACATTACAAATGAAGTCTTTTTTGTGTGTTAACTTTGCAGTCTCACATTTTTCCTTCATTTGAGGCAGTATATTTCAGCTATAAAGTATGTAACTGTGTCTGTTTTAGCCAAAAAAAAAAAAAATCCCACCTTTCCAAGCAATAAAATATACAGAATTGAAAGTTGACACCTAATATATTTTTCATTGGATACAGATGTTCAATGTAAAATTCTTTCTTCTAGTATTCATAAAATGTTGGATAACCAGAAATCTTTAGGTATAATGTATGAAAAGTAAAAAGAAATCATACCTTTTGGTAAATTGCTAATAGCTTTTTAATGAAAGCTGTTTTTATTCTCATAATTTACAAGTTTGTTTAAGAATATTGTGTCACTAAAAATATGAATGGAATCTTTAAATTGCCATGGAACTTCATGAAATAAAAATATTCTAAATTTCTCTCCCAAATGTAGAAAATCTTATAAGTATCTTATAAAAGAGTCATTCAACAGTTTGTGTACATTTTACCTCGTTTATCTTGAAATCTAAATGCTTTTGAATACATTTTAAGAAACTGTTTCTAATAGCAATTTTTCATGTCAGTTTTCAATACCATCCTTGCTGGCAAATACAGGCTAATATGGGGAATGCACAGTACAATCTATTATGCTGAATTTTTGTATATTAAGACTACTGTTCATTTTTGAAGTGAGGGGAGCTGTGTACAGTTTTGAAGTAGAAGCAGCTCTTCCAAGGGTAACCTTTGAGAACTGGGAACTACTGATGGTTTGCCACCTGCAGAAGTCATTATCCAAGCTATGGGTGAAAATGTGCACTATCCAGTAACGAGGAAAACACACGAAAAAGTAGTTGTTTTCTCTTTACCCATCCTTCCCCCATGCCTTCCCCAGAAACACACACACACACACACACACACACACACACACACACACACAATAATAATAAAATAAAATGGACACAAATCATTTTAAACAGGTGTTTCTTTAAATACAAATACAGATAGTCAGTTTAAGTCAATAGTTAATCTGTAGTTCTAGTTGTGTTCTATTTAAGTGTACTTAGAATTGAGATCCCTGCATCTTTCCTAAGAAGAAAAAAAATATACATAACCCTATGAGCACTTCAATATAAAACTTTAAAATATTTTCTATTTTTTGCTTTCAACCTAACTACTTGCACAAAAATAATACCCTTTTGTCCCAGTGTGTTATGTTGTCTTTCCATTTATTAATTAAACCACTCAGTGGAACCCGTTGACTAGATGCCTGCTGTATGAATAACATCATGCCTAACTCTGTAGAAGAGTGAAAAAGGCAGACACCAAGAGGCTTACATTGTATTGTGGGAGATAAGAACTTTATATGAAATATGTTGCTCACAATCAAACTGTTTGCTATGTATCCAAATAAAGGATATTCATGAGAATGAATTATACAGAAAACAGATCATTGTGCTCTGGGAGAAACTTTTTCTGGAACTGTGATTAAAAGAAAGGTAGAATTTGGCCAGGCAGATGGAAGGTAGGATACTGAAGGTAGGGTCATGCCAGGAACAGAAGCATGACAGAAAAAACAGTTTTGATGGGAACATGGAAGGTAAAGTGTGGACCGTGGAACAGAGTACAGAGATGTTAGACTAGCAGGTGGCTTGGAAGCTCACCTTTGCATGTCAGATTTCATATTCATGGTAGAGGAGGAGACTAGGGAATAAATGTGGAATAAATGAGTCAGAGTGAATAATGAACCAGTAAGGGTGATGCTTAGTAATATTAATTTATCAGTGAATGTGGTATGCATTGGAAAGAGAAGTTGAGCACAAAAGGAATAACCATTGATCTTGTTACTGGAGGTTTAGGTATCAGATCTTAAAAGTATTTATTAAGATTATGACATGAGAAATAGAAGGTAGCTTGAATCTACTGGATTTTTGAATTGGGTGTTAAAGGAAAATTAAGGTGGCAAAAATAAATTATTCCAAATCTTAGAGAAATAAGGAGTAAAGAAAAGGAGAGAGCTTTAGGGAAGTCATTTGAGAAAGCAAGTAGTGGTTCATATATTTGGCTAAGGGATGGAGGATTCAGTTGTGAGAACTAAAGGGTATAAGGTTTCTATGGGGAATGATAAAAATGTTCTATAATTATGGTGATAACTGTACAACTTTGTGAATATACAAAAAGTTGGTGAACTATACACTTTAAATTGGTGAATGGTAAGGTATATGAAGTGTATCTCAATAAAGGTTACAAAATGAAAGAAAAGAAGAAAGGGAATATGCTTCAGGGACCATAATAAAAAAAAAAAAGAAAAATGGCTCTTAACTGAGATTCAGTTAAATGTTGTGGTGAATGAATTGTGAACTTCACTTGTAAGAGCAGTTCTTGAAGGTTTGGAGACAGTTGTGAAGAGAGAAAAGACAAAGCAGAGATCAGATCCTAATTAATTCTTCACTTTGAGAGCTGTAGTAGGAAGGGGGAATAGTTTAAAAGGAAATATTTTTTTTTTTACAGCATTTATCATTTGCATTTATTTTACCTGTAATTTCTTAAGCAAGATGGACAAACATATGCATTGGCCAAGCTATTAAAATGCTATTAAAGTGGCCAATGGTGGATGATATTTTTATATTGCCTGGCTTTATTTTAATAAAAAAAGAAACGTGATGTTCTTGTAAGAAGATATATTCCTAGCACAAAATACCAGTTTTCCTTTGTGGGCCACAGTAATTGGATGGGCTTCTGAGAATGAGAACGAGTCAGAGAGGCCAAATTGTATAATCCCTGGTAAAACTGGTTCTTCAAGTTTCATTCACTAGTTGGTTTTCTTTCTTTTTTTTTTTATTGTTGGTCTTTCAAAACATTACATCTAACTTGATATATCATATTTCACAGTTTGATTCAAAAGGGTTATGAACTCCCATTTTTACCCCGTATACAGATTGCTGAATCACATCAGTTACATCAATTACATTTCCATTGATTTACATATTGCCATTCTAGTGTCTGATGAATTCTGCTCTCTATCCTAACCTCTACTATCCCCCC